CTCAGTGGTCTCCCCTCCTTGGCCCCTCACCCTCCTAGAATTTATACTTCATAAAAGGGCCCGAGTCATCCTTTTAAACAAAGTAGATGATGTCATCCTACTTCCCCCAGCAATTTCTCCAGGTTCCTGCACAACTCAGCCCCTTACCTCCTTCAGGTCTTGCTCAAAAGTCACCTTCTCAGTAAAATGGTCCCTTAAGCCTTTTTTAAGTAACAATTATCCTAACCCCACACCCAACTCTCCCCCCCACACCCCAACCCTGCTTTGTGCTTATCATCATCTACCAAACCATATATCTCACTTGTTTTACTGTCTCCTTCCACCAGCATGTGAGTTCCATGCAGAGTTCCCACAAGACAGGAGGAACTCATATGCCAATGGCCTTGGTCTGTCGCAGTCATGGTCCTATGTCCCTAGCAACTACAATAGTGCCTGACCCATAAGATGCATTCAATAAACATTTGTTGAATGAACCTTAACACCAACGCTGCATGGTAAAGATTTGTATTCTTCTCATCCTGTAAAACAAGGGGATGAAAGCTCCAAGAAGTTAAGTAACTTGACCCAGATCCCTCACCTAGAAAGTAATTCCCATTGGCACACTCTGATCCACCACCCAGGGTCTCTTAAAATGTGACATTCAACTGGATTTTCGATGACTCCCCAGATCAGCTTTTTAAAACACTTAAGAATTGAGACGGACAAAAAGATAAAAACCTTGTATCTTAACCAAAAATTAACTCAAAATGGATCATGAACTCAAATGTAAAATGTAAAGCTATAAGACTTTTAGGAAAAAAAAACAGGAGAAAATCTCTGAGATCTAAGGCTAGGCAAGGAGGTCTTAAACTGGACAACAAAAGCACAACTCATAAAAGGAAATTTTGACTAACTGGTCCTCATCAAAATTAAAAATGGTTGCTTTGTAAAAGCCCAGGTGAAGAGTTGAGAGTTGAAAAGATGAGCTAAAGCAGGGAGGAAATATTCACACACTGCACATCCAACAAAGGACTAGTATCTAGAATATGTAAAGAACTCCCAAAACTCAAAAGGAAAGAATGAATAATCCAATTAGAAAATGGGGGGATCCCTGGGTGGCGCAGCGGTTTGGCGCCTGCCTTTGGCCCAGGGCACGATCCTGGAGACCCGGGATCGAGTCTCACGTCGGGCTCCCGGTGCATGGAGCCTGCTTCTCCCTCTGCCTATGTCTCTGCCTCTCTCTCTCTCTCTCTCTCTCTCTCTCTGTGTGTGTGTGTGTGTGACTATCATAAATAAATTTTAAAAAAAATTTTTTTAAAGAAAAAAAAAAGAAAATGGGCAAGAGGGACACCTGGGTGACTCAGTTAAGTGTCTGCCTTTGGCTCAGGTCATGATCCCATGGTCCTGGGGTCAAGCCCTGCATCAAGCTCCCTGCTCAGTGGGGAGTCTGCTTCTCCCTCTCTCTCTCTCTCTCTCTCTCTCTCTCTCTGCCCCTCCCTCTGCTTTTGCTCTCTCTCACTCTCTCTCTGATAAATAAATAAAATCTTTTTTTTAATATTTTTTTCTTTATTTATTTATGATAGTCACACAGAGAGAGAGAGAAAGAGAGGCAGAGACACAGGCAGAGGGAGAAGCAGGCTCCATGCACCGGGAGCCCAATGTGGGATTCGATCCCAGGTCTCCAGGATCGCGCCCTGGGCCAAAGGCAGGCGCCAAACCACTGCGCCACCCAGGGATCCCAATAAATAAAATCTTTAAAAAAAGAAAAGAAAATGGGCAAAGACCTGAACAATTGACTGAACAGGATGTACAGATGGTAAAAAGCACATGGAAAGGTGTTCAACAACATTAGGCATTAAGGAAATGGAAATTAAGACCAAGATAGGATATCACTACACACCTCTCAGAATGGCTAAAAAAAAACAATGACAATTCCAAATGCTGACAAGGATGCAGAAAACTGGGTCACTCATACATTGTTGGTGAGAATGTAAAACAATAGAGCCATTCCAGCAGTTTCTGATAAAACCAAATATGCAATTATCAAATGACTCATCAGTCACACCCCTGGGCATTTATCCTAGAAAAGTGAAAATTCATGTTCATGCAAAAATCTGTACACAAGGCCGCCTGGCCTGGGTGGCTCAGGGGTTTGGTGCCTGCCTTCGGCCCGAAGCGTAATCCTGGAGACCCAGGATCGGGTCCCGCGTTGGGCTCCCTGCCTGGAGCCTGCTTCTCTCTCTCTCTGCCTCTCTCTCTGCCTGTGTCTCTGCCTCTCTCTGTGTGTCTCTCATTAATAAATAAATAAAATCTAAAAAAAAATATGTATACAAATGTTCACAGCAGCTTTATTTATAATAGGCCAAAATAGGAACCAGTCCAGATGTTCCTCAACAGGTGAATTAATATTCACCTGTTCAACAAACTGCAGTGATTCCACACCATCATATGCTACTCAGCAATAAAAAAAAAAAAAAAAAAAAAAAAGAATGACTGATATACCTAACAACTTGGATGAGTCTCCAAGAAATTATGCTGGGCAAAATAGCCAATCTTTGTGCCAAGACAATTCAATGGGAAAAGAATACTCTTCAACAAATGGTACTGGGACAGCTGGACATTTACATGCAAAAGAATGTGGTTGGTCCCCTACCTCACACCATATGCAAAAACTAACTCAAAATGGATCAAGGGTCTAAATGTAAGAATTAAAACTATCAAAGTCTTAGAAAAAATAGGGGCAAGTCTTTGTGACTTCAGACAATGGTTTCTTAATAAAACATAAAAATCACAAATAAAAGAAAAACAAATTAGACTTCCTCAAAATGAAAAACTGTTGTGCTACAAAGGACACCATTAAGAAAATTAAAAGACAACCTACAGAATCAAAGAAAATGTTTGAAAAAATATCTGATAAGAGTTTAGTATCCAGAATATATAAACAACTCTTACAACTCAATACTACAAAGAAAGACAAATAACCCAACTTTAAAATGGGTAAAAAATCTGACTAAACATTTCTACACAGAAGAAATACAAATGGCCAATGAGCACATGAAAAATTGCTCAAGATAATTAACCATCAGTGAAATGCAAGTCAAAACCACACTGAGATACCATTTCATACCCACCATGAGGGTTATAATCAAAAGACAGATAATAACGAGTATTGGTAAGAATGTAGAGAAATTAGAACCTTCATACACTGCTAATGGGAATGTAAAAAATGATACAGCTGCAAACAATGCAATAGTATTTGGCAATAAAAAAGGGTAAAGAAAGAAAAAACCATGTCACAACATGGATAAACCTTGAAAAACATGATGCTAAATGAAAGAAGCTAGTCACAAAGACTAAATGGTGTATGATTCCACTTATACAAAATGTCCAGAAAGAGGCAAATTTACAGAGACAGAAAGATTAATGGTTGCCTCAGGTACCAGCTTTCTTTTTGGGGTGATGAAAATGTTCTAAAATTGACTGTGGTGATGGATGCACAACTCTGAATATACTATAAACCACTGAATTGTACACTCCAATGAGTGCTTTTATGAGATGTGAGTTATATCTCAATAAACCTGTTACCAAATTTTTAAAAATCAATTTCAAAGGGTTCTATACTATATGATTTCATATTTATATAACATTTTTGAAATGGCAAAATTCTAGACATGACAGGCAGATTAGGAGTTACCAGGAGCTGAGGGTGGAGGAATGGAGAAAGGTGAATAGAAAGAGCCACACAAAAGAGTCTTAAACTGACTGAACAGTATCTTGACTGTGGCAATAAACACACAAACCTCTAAATGTGATAAACTGTATAGCACTAAATATTCACACAAATGGAGACAAGCAAAATCAGGGAACTCTAAGATCTGTGAGCTATGTAAATATCAGTATCTTCATTGTGATATTACCTTACAGGTCTGCAAAATGTTACCATTCAGAAATAGGGTAAAGGGTGTATGGAATCTCTGTATCTTTTCCTTGCTTTCTTTCTTTTTTTTTTTTTTTTTTTAAAGTACTCTCAACACCCAATTTGAGGCTCAAACTCAGGACCCTGAGATCACAAGTCACATGCTCCACAGACTGAGCCAGCCAGGGCCCCCTATAGTTTTTCTTACAATTGCATGTGAATCTACAATTATCTCAATAAAAATTCCAATTAAAGAAATATACTGAAATCTGTTCTATTTTCCATTTCTCTTCAGATTAAACAAGAGTGTCCTCTGGTGCAGGACTGCCATAGCTTCTAACAGCTGTTTGCTTATACCCTTTTGAACAAGGAAGGGAAGACCTCAATCTCAAAAGACCCCATAAGAGATTCCAGCTGAAATTAATAACACACTTTTATTTCATGGTATTTAGTTGTTCATCTAGATGATATAATGTAGAATTAAGAACACAAATTCTGGGGATCCCTGGGTGGCGCAGCGGTTTGGCGCCTGCCTTTGGCCCAGGGCGCGATCCCGGAGACCCGGGATCGAATCCCACGTCGGGCTCCCGGTGCATGGAGCCTGCTTCTCCCTCTGCCTGTGTCTCTGCCTCTCTCTCTCTCTCTCTCTCTCTCTCTCACTATCATAAATAAATAAAAAATTTAAAAAAAAAAAAAAGAACACAAATTCTGGAGCCAGCCAGTCAAGGACTCCACTGCCAGCTCTGCTACTTACTAGCTATGTGACCTTGTGCCAGTCACTTAACATCTATGCACCTCAAACACCTCATCTGTAGAATGAGTATGACAGGGTACCTAGATCATAGTGTTTTAAGCCAATGTGTGTGTGTGTGTGTGTGTATGTACTTATACACATGTGTAAGTATCTGGCACAACGTAATAGCTATCATTATTACCTTTACCATAACAAGGATGGGGGCGGGGAGATCAGACGTTATAGAAAGCTCAAGAGGCACAGGTGCAGGCCAGATTACCTCTTGTAATGTGCTCCCTTGGTTCATCCCTGGGTAGCCCTGAGTCCACACCCAGATGTCCCCAGGATGGAGGTGGGCCAGGAGATACCCACCTGCGCATTTGGTGCGGCTGATGAGGGGCGGCCCCGGGCGGCCGGTGCCGCCCTCACCGGGGCGCGTGAGCAGTACGCTGATCTCGTACTCGGTGTCGGGGTCAAGGTGCCACAGCTTGTAGGTCTGCAGGCTGACGGCGTGCACCTCGGCCCACGGGCCGCGGGACATGCGATACTCAATCTCCTTGCGCACGATCGGCCCGTCGCCAATGATGGAGTTGGTGTTGAGCTGGATGATGAGGTAGGTGGGCCCCGCGCGGAGCAGCTGCGGGGGGGCAATGGGTGTGGGGGGCTCTGCGAGGACGTGAGGGAGAGGCGGAACCCAAAGGTGCGCTGTGAGACCCTGCCCCCAACCCCGGCCCGCAGCCCGTCCAAATCCCCAGCAGCCCTCCCTGTCCTCCCAGGACCCTGAGGAAACCCCCAGACCCCCAACTAGACTTTCTTGCCCGCGCCCACTAAATCCCCAGGCCCGAGGGGGCACCCGCTCCAAAGGCTGATCCCACACTCACCCTAAGCCTACACCCTGCCCCAGTTCTGGCGTTGAGGGGTGGCCCCGTGCGGGTGGGGTCAACCCCGGGGCGCCACAGCCAGACCCCACCTTGCGTGGCTCACACCCCAACAGGGTCTCCCCGCCCGCCCATCAGACCGCCTCCTGGGGGACAAACTGCCCCTTCCGCAGGCCCCGCCCCAGCCACGCCCTGCCGGCCCCACCTTCCCGCGGGCCCCGCCCCTCGGAGGGTGCAGCCCCAGCACCCACCCCCCAGCCCCACCCCACCCCCCCACCCAGCTACGGGAGCGTGAGTTGCTGACCCTTGACGATGAGCTCCGCGAAGTTGGAGACGCCCGCGCCTCGCGGGGCCTGGGACACGCAGCGGTACAGGTCCTGCTCCGAGCGGCTCACGGAGGCAAGCAGGAAGGTGGCCAGGAAGCGCCGGTGGCTGATGTGCCGCACGCCCGCGGCGGGCACCAGCGTCCCGCTCTGCCGCTGCGCAGGGGTAAAGGGGACAGGGTCAGGAGTGCCGGGGAGGAACGGTCCCCATCTCGCTCTGACCCTGGCGAGGGGAGTACTGTATGTCCTGGCCCCATTTAGCAGACACTAGTACTCCTGGTACTAGCTCTCCGTCGCAGGAAGGTGTGGATAAGAAGGTGATTAAGGCAATGTGGTCTCTGCCTCTGATGGAGAGTGGTCTGGGGATCCTGGAGCCACCCTCTGCCCTGAGGGTAATAAGAGCACCCAAGAGAGCAGAGCAGAGCCTGGGTGAGGGCAGGGATGCCTGAGTATGAATGCTGGAAAATGCAGGAATAATCCAGCACCCTGTAAGGAACCCAAGTCCCAGAAGAAATCCCCTGCCACCTTGATAAGGTCCCTGCCACCCCCTCACCTGCAGGAGAAAGCGCTCGGCCTCTGCTGCTCTGCCCGCTGCCATGCACTGGAAGGAGGCATTCTGGCCAGCATTGACCTCCACATCGCCCAGGCGGGAGAAATGCGGGGCCTTCGCTGCGGGAATAGAGCCTCTGTGTGAGCTGGGCCTGGGCCCCCCGACAAGGCAGGAGCCACGGCCACCGCACCCCTCACCCTGCACCCCCGTGGGCTGGGACTCACCGCAGGGGTAGCTGAGAAGCAGGACGTCATCTAGGCCCATGTAGCCCCTGCGGTCTGGGGAGATGAGGGCCTCAAACAGCACCTGGGGGAGGCGGGAGGGTCCCTGTCATATCCCTCCAGCCCTACCTGGGGAGGTGCCCACAAGGGACCCCTTTTAGCTCTGCTCCAGTCCAGGCTCCTCAACCAGCAGAGGTCAGCCCCACTCACAATGACCTTCCTTACCAAGCCTGCTAGTTGAGGGGGTGTGGGGTGCCAGCAGCCAGAGCTAACAAGGTCAAGGCCAGGGAGGTTCCATCCCAGTTCTGGATAGTTACCTTCAAACAGGAAAACTTCCCAGCCAGACAGGGTCTCCAGGTCAGCACTGTTCCAACTCACCCTTGACTCCGGCAACAGACTATTTGTATTGACAGTGATCTCTGACGCTGAATCTGGACCACAGCAGCACTGAATAAGCTGAGGCTGACCACAGACCGACCCCTGACCTTGACCACATACTGACTCCTGATGCTGACCACAGACTAGTTCCAACCTTGGTTACCTGCTTACTCTGCCCTCAGGCTGATACCTCTCTACCCTCACCCCTGAGCGCAGGCTGACCACAGACCAAACTCAGCCTACCTGATATTCATTGGGCCAGAAGGTGCTGACGGCCAGCTCAGCCTGGTGCCACTGACGGCCATGTGATCCAGTCATATTCCAGACGGCACTGCCCAGGGGACCCCCGTTGACACGCACATAGATGCCCAAGGTGCCCGGGCTGTGCCCATCCCGGCTGTACAGGAAGTAGCTGAACTGCACGCAGTGGGTATCATTCTCGCTCAGGCTCTGGAAGATTACATGGGCCCGCTGGCCTGGGGTGTGCTGGGAAGCATTGACCATCAAGTAGGAGCCTAGAAAAAGAAGGAGGAGGAGGCAGGAGCTGAGGAGGCTTGGGGAGGACCAAGGTCAGGTGGGCAGAGGAGGGGGGTGGGCAGAAAAAAGGGACTCCGGGCATTTGAACCCACTGGGAGTTAAGAATTCTGAGTCCTGGTCCCCAACTCTGACTGTGTTGAGTCCCTTCACCTCCCTGCATGAGAATCGGAGAAGCAAAAACACACAAAAGTGACTCTCTCAAAACCCTTTATGGCCTCTCACCACCTATGATCACAGTCCAAGCTCATGCTGGCCCACAACGTTCCCCATGTTCTGAGCTGCCCGTGGAGGCAGGGACTAACTAGGTCATTCATCTTGGAGTCAAGAGTCTGTCACAGGACAGGCCCTCAAAGGCTACCTTTTTTGAAACCCTCCCTCCCCATCTCTCCACAGGCTTCTCTCCTGGCCCTTGGATCACTCATCACGTGTGAATCTGTCTCCCCGCCAGCCTGTGATGCCTCAGGGGCTCCACTGTGTCCCCAACACAGGTCTGAACCCAAGCTGAATGAGCATGTAGAACAGAGATTGAATGAAAGGACTCTAACTTCCCTTCCGGCCCCTGCCCTGGGTCTAAATGCATGGAATACAATCCTCTTGATTTCCAACCGGGAAAAGGCAGCCCTCTCCTTCCTCAAATCTGGGATGTACACAGGCAGGGGAGTAGAGGGGAATAGAGGGGCTGGCAGGGTGAGAGTGGGCCTCAGGACCTGGCTGGGGGATTATGGCTTCCCTTTTGTGGGGAGAAGGCCCCAGCAGCTGCCAAGAGGGTGCCCACAGCCACCCAGCTCTGCCTCCTCCCGGGCCTGGCTACCAGCCAACACAAGCTCATTCAGATCCCAAACCACGCCGCTCCCTGCTCTGGGAGGGCTCCCCGGGGACTCCACTGGAGGAGATCTCATTCATCTCTGTGAGCCAGAGGCCTGTGAAGGCAGCTCGTGGATCAGTCCTAGCAGGGTAGTGAACAGAACTCCCAAGTCCCCATATCCACCCAGAAAGGGGCACATCCTGGCCCCCCAGCGGTGCCTCTCATCCCATTTCTCCATCCTCCTGGCTCCTCTCCCTGCGAGCAGCTGCATGTGTCTCTCCCCCTTTCAATCTGATACTGTTCTTGCCTCTTCCTCTGGCTTCCTCTGCCCACCCCCTAGTCTTTTTCCCTAGTTGTCCTCCCCCTGCATCCATCTCCTTCTCTTCATTTCCTCCCTTCGTTCCTGTGGCTCTTCCTTCTCCTCTCTGTGTCTGAATCGCCCTCCTTCCTTCTCCCACCATCCCCCAACTCTCTTCCCTAGGATGTGCAGACCAAGAGGGCAGAGGCCCAGCACAAGGCCCACACTAAATACTCAATCTCTCTTTCCCCTGTCTCACTGGGTACGTCTCTGTGGGTGTGAGAGAGAGAGAGGCAGAGCCCACCCAGGGTCCCTGCCACAGGGGGGCACCTCAACAGACCACAATCACAAGGTCAGACTTTGCTCTCCACTAACACAAAGGTCAAACAAGGAGCTGAGAGCTGTTTGTGGGAAGGCAGAGAGGAATGCCCCAGGGAGGGCACCCTGTGAGCAAAGGCACAGAAGGGGGAGGCAGGGAGGCCTCCAGGAGACAAGGTGAGCGGTAGGAGATGAGCCTAAAGACTGCCCGTGCCAGGCTGTGCAGGATCCCTCTGGCGGCTTTAAGTTCTGGCCTTACCACTGAGAACTTTTGCTGCCCCTCCCCGAATTCTTGACAGCAGGTACAACTGCAGCCATGCTGTGAGCTGAATAGCAAAGGTCCTGGGCCACTATGACAGGGTGAAGGGGAGGAGGCCCTTAAGCTGTCTACTTCTGGGGTTCCCTCAGCACGCCCATTTGTTCTCACACTATGCTGTCTTCCAACTCAAGCTTTATCAGTAATAGGGTTGATAATTTGGCCTCCATATCTCTTATCCTTTTCTGAATGCCCAGCAGATTCTGTACCCAGTAAAGCGGGTGCTGGTAATTGGGCCCTCTCAAATACTTCCAACAATAGCAACTAAACATTCACTGGACCCCTACATTCCACTCCCATGTTATGCAGCTTATAGACATTATCTAATAACCCTATGAAATGGATTATTATGCTCTTCACTTTTTAGTTAAGACAATGGATGCTCAGAGAAGTTAAGTGATTTGCCCAAAGTCACACAACTGATAAAGCGATGAGGCCAGAATTTGAAGTCCAGTCTTCACGACTCTGGGACCAGTACAGTAGAGGCCAACATCAGAGTAGAAGGCCAGTACTACAATGCATGTAATTAGACTGACTCCCACTCCAGTGCCCATGATGTCATAAGTGCTTCATCCTGAAACAGGGCAGAGCAAGGTAGAAATTGGGAAGGATCTGGGACTTCCAGGAAGAAGGGAACTTCAGAGGAAGGTTATACACACATCCAGCCCCCAGTGTTACCACTCCATCAGGATCTTCAAGTCCTGGGAGATAAGGATGCAGAGGCTCTAAGGGAGAAGAAGAGAGCCTCCCAGAAGGTGGACTTAGGAAGACCTGATGGGAATAGGGTGGACTCCAAACTAAGCTGTAGAGGGAATAATGGGAAGTGGGTCTTAACAGCTTTCAGTGTCTTTGATTGCTTGAACCTGCACCCATTTTACAGGTCAAACTACCTAATATATACAATTGGACAGTCTCCACAGAGCCCTACATTCATAGTATCATGTATGTCACTACAGATGCAAAAGCAGAGGTGACCCAGAGAGGTTAAAGAACATGCCCAAGGTCACACAGCAGGTGGCTATAACTGCAAAGAGATAAAGAGGAATGGTGGTAGAGAGTAGGCTCACCATGGGGCAGGTCCGCCGGAGACCGGGTACCAGGGTGGATGTGCACTTGCTCCCACTGGAAGTCGTCATACTGGGCTTGGCTGTACTCACAGGGCACTGCTGGGTCACTCACCTCCTCGAAGGTACAGCCGGCTGTGAGGGCAGGCATGGTTAGCTCCTGCTAGGGCAGGGTCGCTGACCAGCAGGGCTCCTGGGGCTCCCCTCCAGGAGCCCCTGCCCTCTCCCATGCAGGCCCACCCCCTTTCCCTCCCTCTCCCAGGCCACCCCCCCCATTGCTCCCTCCCTCCAACAAAACTCTCCCTCCTCCAGCCCATTCCCTCTATTTACTGTCTCCACCCAATACCAATACCTCCCCACACCACCCACTGCCCCCTAGGACCCCACACTGCTCAACCACCCAACCAAAGACCCTCCCCCAGAAAAACTAGTTAGCATTATCATCAGAGCCTCACAACTCGTGAGATCAGGTCCAGAATTATCCTCATTTTCCAGATGAGGAGACCACAGCTAGTCAGGGACACAGGTGGGCCTTGAACAGAGATCTCCTGTGTCCCACCACGTGCCTCTCCATCTTCACATAAAGGACAGATGTGGGCCCCATGAATGCACTAAGCCAGCCCTGATGGTCTCTTCTTAAGAATAATAACAGAGGCCACTGATCATTTCAGGCTCACCACATGCCCGCACAGCACCAGTTACCCACTCTCTCCGCATGGCATTTCATTTAGGCCTCATCGCCTGAGGCAGAGACCCCTATTATTCCTGCTTGACAGGTGAGCTTAGAAAACTCACTCATCACTCAGTCACCCAAATCAGGTCTCTCCCTGCCAGCACGTGACACACAAAAGCATCGGGGGCCCAGGAAAATGCCTGGCCAAATGGTGAGGAAGCGGATCGATGTCAAGCCAGACCCTGTGTGGGGCACCTGCCAGCCACGGGTACTTCTCCCCACCTGATAGATGACGTGACTGAGGCCCCAGGGGATGCAGGGCCCCATGCACAGTATAACGTGGTGGCCATGTGAGCGGGCTTGAGTATCAGACAGACTTGAGATCCGTAAGGCAAGTCACTTCTCCATTCTGAGCCTCGGTTTCCACCTCTGCATATAGGGTTGCTGGGGATGCAGCACGGGGTCCACCTATCACCAGGCCCAGGGTGCGCACAAGCTCTCAGGAAATGGTGGCCCTTCACAGGCACTGCTGGAGTCCACAGAAGCTGGACTTGAACCTACATCAGCCGGATACCAGAGCCCAGATTTCCTTCACTATGAGAAACAGCACAGCCAAGCTGCTTCCCAGGCTCAAGAAGAGGAAGGAAGAGAATTAAAGAAGGAAGAGAAACTGGGGGCCGAGGGCCATGTGCCAGGCACCACAGCGGGCATGTGCCTGGTGGCAGGGACTCCACTTTTGGGGGCACTCTGCTGTTTCACCTGCCACAGGGACCTCTCTAGGTTGCCAGGCAGATCATGTGAAGTAGCACAGGGAGACATGCCCAGCAGAGGCAGGCACACAGGTGCTCACCACTGTCGGGGGGTCTCTTGTTCCTCTTCTCGCTTCCCATCGGAGTATAAAACAATGAGATGTGGGCATGAGGCTGGCACTGAGTGGATGCAGTGAAATAACAGAAGCCTCTCTCTACAGCTGGAGCAGAACCTTGGCTGCGCACTTTGCCTCTTTGTGTGAAAGGCCCTGGTCAGCACCATGCCCTGTGGCCTGTGGGAGGGAAATTTTAACCCAGCCTGTGCTGGGAAGGCCTCAACTCTCCCTCTAGAAAATGACCCACAGCACAGCACAGCACACCACAGAGGGAGGCTGTGGCCAGTAGGGATGGTCAGGGAGGGCTTCCTGAAAGAGGGGGACAACTGACTTCATTCAGTTGAATGCAGTCAGCAACTGAGCTGACTGCAGTCTGCTCCCAAGGTTCTTAGCCAAGGCCTCCCTAAGGCAGAGGGATTGCCGGAAAGGGAAGCCCAGGATCTTGAGCCTGGATGGGGCTCAGGCCCTTCCAGTTCCTTTACAAGGCAGGTTCAAGCACAAGGCAGCTGCCCAAGGATGTCTCCTCCATGGCCCTGGGGCAAGTCTGGGAGTGTCAACTCTTTGGCTTCCCCCCATCCATCCTGAGCCAGGCCACAGGAGCTAACAGGACCCCCAGACAGACTGACCTGAGCCAGAGTAACCCCCAGCTGATTACCCCTGGCCAACAGCAGCCCCAACATCATCCAGACCATCTGACTTCAACCAGAAGGACCACCAGATTGCCTGACTGACCCCTGGCCAGAGTATCCCCTGACCTCTGCCAAATGAGTCCTACAACTGATCTCAGCCAGGGTAACCTCCCTGGCTGACCTTCCCCCTCCCTAGTGTCACCTGAGACAGAATGATTCCCTCTCCCTGGTCCATGTGCACCTCCAGCTCTGTGCCTCTGGGCCAGGTCCAATTCCAACCACAACCCTTAGGGGATGACATCTCCTCAAAGAGAGCCCCATCCTCACCGTCTACCCAGCTCACCCTGGAATGGGAACAATCAGGCCTCCTAGGTCCTGAGGGAAACTATATCACCTCCAGTCTGGGTGGCTCAGGAACCACAGCCTGGTCCCAGCTCCTGCTAGAGACCCAGCTCCTATCAGAGGCCACCACCCACCCAGGGCCCGGAGAAAGGGGGGTGGATAGGAATTAGACCAGACTTTGGATTCAGAGCAAGAATGTTGACTCCTTCAACACAGACTTGGGCCACAGACACACACGTACACGTCAGCACCACCGTGAGAGAGCTGTCACTAACCATCATGTCCACCTATCCCCATGAAACTCCACAGTAATCCCTAAGGTAGGTACTATTATTCTTCCTGTTTTGCAGATGGAAACTGAGACACAGAGAGAGGAGGTGGCTTGCCCAAGGCCACATTCTAAGTCCCAGAAGCTGGGATTTAAGCCATTTATCTTTATTCAGGGAGACTAGGTCCAAACAAAATAAGGCTCTGGTGTTCTGCTGGCCACATGTTATTAATTCAGTTCCACTCAGGAAATGTGTTCACTGAAAGTACAAAGCAGGTCCCAGGCTGACACTATTAGAGGCACAAGGATGATTTAGATTCAACCCTGCCCACAGGGACCTCCCAGTCTGAGTGGGGGTGATGGAATAAGGCAAAGCAGAGAAGGGTCAAGGCCACAAGAGGGGGTCCAGGAGAAAGACTTTCCTGGAGGTGGGTGCATCTGAGCAAAGCCTGGAGGGCAGGATCTCATTCTGGCCAGTAGAGATAAACAGAAAAGTCTGTGAGGCAAAGGGCCCAGCAGAAGCTAATGAGGGCAGGGAGTGAACACACAGTCCAGAGCATAGAGAGGAGCGAGGAGTGACCAAAGCACTGGGTGGGAGGCTGGAGACAGGAAGGCTGAGGCCAGACCACAGAAGGAGGGTCTTAAGTGTCTGGGAGAGAAGTCTGACTTCATTGGAATGGGGAAGCCAGAGTAGGGTTCAGATGAGACAGTGTTACATCCTCCAGGCCAGGAGGAGGGCAGGCGGGTTCTCCAGGGGGCACCACAGGATCAGGTGGGAGCTTGGTGAGACAAACCACCATGGGGTCCACAGTCTGATGTCAGGAACTGCTGAGGAAAGGAGCCTCAGGTCCCCTCCTAGATGCAAACGGCGCACACTCTAGTCACACCCAGAGAGATGCATAACACGCACACACACAGCCCCACACTCCCTTCCCCCAGCCTAGTCCAAGCCTCAGGAACACTGCTCAGCCCGCCTGGGGCCAGGGAGAAAACCAGACCCCGCCAGGGGTACCCCATCTCTCCCCCGCCTCCCAGAGAGGGTGGGCTGGATCAACCCAGGACCCCCACCGGTTCCCCCAGCCTCAGCTCAAACTGGCCCAGCTACATTCCTCAGCTAATCTCCCCAATCTGGCAGGCGGTTGCCTCAGCAACCGTCAGCCACAATTTGGGAAGGCAGGAGGATGGCTTATCCACATCCGGCTGGGCTGTAGATGGGGCGATGTAAGGGGCGAAGCAACCTCCGTGGGAAGAATCAGAGTGTGGGGAGGGGGTCTCCCCCACATGAGGGTCTCCACAATTCCATGCGGATGTGTTTCCATATGTTAGTGTGTGTGTGCGTACATGACTGTGAGAGTGATAGCCTGATACCGATTTGTGAGCACTCAGCTGAGAGGCAGGAGACCTGAATCTAACCAGCTGAGCCTCCAACTCCCTGTGTGACCTGCAGCAGGTGACTTGCCCTCTCTGAATCTCTGCTTCCCCACCTATGAAATGAGAATGGGGACCCAGGTGACTTCTAAGGCCACGTCCACCTCTAGAATTCTAGTTCCATGTATGTGAGTATGCACATGAGCAAGAATAATTTGAGGGCAGAGAGACTATGGGGCAGAGGTATGTGAGGGTGAGTATGGGTCTCCAAGTGTGGGTCCCCCAGACAGTGTGCTGTGAAGTTAGGGTGTCTAGGTGTACTTTCATGTACAGAGGTATATGGGCATACTCAGAGATAAGCATGTGCCTACAGGGGAGGTGAGTATATGCAGTGGGATAGAGGTGAGTTGTGTGTGCGCATGTGTGTGCATGTGTGTGCATGTGTGTGTGCGCATGTATGTGCATGTGTGTGTGCGTGTGCCCCCGGGTGAGCTCCAGACTTTCCTCCCCATCAGACAGGGAATGATGCCCTGTGCCAAGTGTGGCTGCCAGCCACCACCACTAGGTAAACAGAGTTTGTTTGCAATGAGATCTCTGTTCTCTTTGGTTTGTCAGTAGAGCATCCAGTTCCCAAGGGTGGCCCCAGGAGAAATAAAACTTCTCTCAACATACTGCAAGTTTAGGGGCTGGGAACATACGCAATCATAGGCATGGCCCAACCCTGGCCCCAGGGAAACCAAATACAACCCCAATGACAGCCCTGGCCTATTTCATCATCTCAAGCCACATCTCTATTCTAGGTAGCCCAGCTCAATCAACCCTGGAGCCAATGGTGGCTTCATCCCTTAGATGTTCTTGCCCAACCCAGCCCTATCCTGTGTTCTCCACCCCAACTACAGCTCCATGGCAGGCCCACCTAACCCCACTTCCTCGTTTCCTAAGGTCAGAGGCTGGCTCTCATGCCTTTGAACCCCATCCCCAAGTGCTCGTATAGTAGATGCCCAACAATGGCAAGACGCATCAACCCCATGATCCTAACCAGTCTGACCCCAACCAACCCCCACCCAGGCTCAAGCACCATGACTCTAACCCGGAGACCTGGCCTGGCCCATTTCACTGCTTTACTTGCCCAGACCAATACATCCAGACCTCAGCCCAGGTTCCCTGGAGCTGTTCTCCAGAGCCCTGAATAACTGATGCGCACTCAATTAAGGGCAGGGGTGACCACCTTCTAATCACCCAGAATTCAGCATGGCTGAAGCCAGGAAGATCACTCAGGACAACAGAGAGATAAAGCTGAGTTCGTACCCCCTCCAGGAGCCAACACAGGACCCAGCAATGCCAACATACTTCCACCTCCACTGAGGATAGAAGGAAGCCAACTCTAACAGGAAAAACTCAGGCCAGACCCACACACCATCTCCTTGATCAGCATGAAAATCCCAAGGTTAACGGTAGTGCTGCCATGTTGGTGGTATAAGGTGAAGGCCCCAGGCAGCGCCCAACTCCAGACGGAGGCAAAGGGCTGAATGGGGAGCTGCAGTGTATAGAGGTACAGTGGGCAAAGAGTACACAGACACCCTGTATCATATAAAGCCACAGTGCAGCAGAGCAGAGAGGCAGAGGGTCGTGCACAAACCCACACAGTGCAAAAATCTGTACTTTATTAGAGTCCATGGAGACGGGGCTATGAGGTGCCATGGCATGGTTTGCTGAGAGCACAGTGCAGCAGCTCCACGCTACACAGAGGCAGATGCAATTATACACCACAGGGTGAGCAGAGCACACAGTGTGCACAGACCCCAGTACAGACACCTGGTGCAGAATGGCAGAACTGGCCGTGGCCATGACGCAGTGCTGAGGTGTCACATCCGCTCTGGGCATGACCCTGAGCTGCACAGAGGCACAGCACACCAGGGCGGCACATCCAGTAGTGCACTGGGCCAGGACTCGGTGCTACGGGGGCAGGTGTACAGAGGAGTGCCAAGGTGCTATGTTCAAGCACTCCTGGTTCTTCGCCCTCTCCGGACCCTAGTGCAGAGCCAGGTACACAGTTGGTGCTCGGTGCTCCATGACTTCTCACTGAAAGGATGTGTCCCACGTAGGCACACACAACAGTACAGAGTCACAGGGAGGAGAAGGGTGTCATGTGGTATGGATGGAACTGCTGGGTGTGGAAGCCTAGTCCAGAACACAGCTCAACAGTCCCAAGGAGCAGGACAGGTGTAGGCATGAGGGTAGGAGTAGAAAGTGGCACCAAAATGGAGTGCAGTGAAGAGGCCACGAGGAACAGTGAAATCAGTAAAAGCCAGTAGAGCTAAAAGCCAGTAGAGCACACACAACCCAACTGTGAACACGTGCAGT